TTGAGGGCTAAGGCAGGAGAATCACTTGAAGGTGGGAGGCAGAGGTTACAGTAAGCCGAGATCACACCATTGCACTCCAGCCCTGGGCAACAAGGGCGAAACTCTAATCTTAAAATATAAATAAATTAATAAATAATAAATTTATTGATGCATATATGGTGTTATGGTTAGTGCTAGTATAAATTAGCTACTTTTAATAGGATATTTATATGCTAAGGTTTTTTTTTTTTTTTTGAGATGGGGTCTTGCTCTGTCACCAGGCTGGAGTGCAGTGGCCGGATCTCAGCTCACTGCAAGCTCCGCCCTCCCGGCTTCACGCCATTCTCCTGCCTCAGCCTCCCGAGTAGCTGGGACTACAGGCGCCCGCCACCTCGCCCGCTAGTTTTTTTTTGTATTTTTTAGTAGAGACGGGGTTTCACTGGGTTCAGCCAGGATGGTCTCAATCTCCTGACCTTGTGATCCGCCCGTCTCAGCCTCCCAAAGTGCTGGGATTACAGGCTTGAGCCACCGCGCCCGGCCTATACGCTAAGGGACATTAATACATATTTGAAAAAAGAAATATCTTTTCATAACAAGTTTTTTGAATGTATATTTAAATTAACTCTTCTAAGAATGTGGTATAGATACAAAACAAAACACTATTTAGCTTTAAAAAGGGGTACGTCCCATTATTTGAAACCAGATAGGTACATTTAGAAGACATTATGTATGCTAGATAAAATAAGCCAGACACAGAAAGACAAATACTGAATGATCTTATTTTTATGTAGAATATAATAAAGTTCAACTCAAAAAAGCAGAAAGTGAAATAACAGTTACCAGACGCTAGGGGTGATAAGAACAGAACAGATAGTTTTTCCTCTAAGGGTACAAAGTTTTAAATAGAGTAAGGAGGTTTTGAGATTTGTTGCACACCAGGATGACCACAGTAAACAATAATGTATTAGCCAGGTGTGGTGGCTCACGCCTGTAAGCCCAACAATTTGGGAAGCCAAGGTGGGTGGATCACAAGGTCAGGAGTTTGAGACCAGCCTGGCCAATACGGTGAAACCCCATCTCTACTAAAAATACAAAAATTAGCCGGGCATGGTGGTGCGCCCCTGTAGTCCCAGCTACTCAGGAGGCTGAGGCAGGAGAATTGCATGAACCCGGGAGGTGGAGGTTACAATGAGCCAAGATGAGGCCATTGCACTCCAGCCTGGGCAACAGAGTGAGACTCCGTCTCAAAAAAAAAAAAAAAAAAAAAAGTATTGTATATTTCAAAACAACTGAGCGAATTTCAAATGTCTCCCCACAAAAAAATGATAGGTAAGAAAGTTAATGTTATTTAACTTAATTGTTCTATATTATATGCATATATTAAAACATAACATTGCACCCCATAAATGTATACAACTATGATTTGTCAATCAAAAATAGTATTAACTTTTTTCTTAAAGAGAGAGAAATAAACCTTAAGAAATCGGGCCAGAGAAAAAAAGTGTTTTTTCAATCTCAACATTTCAGAAAACATCTGGTGCGGTGGCTCACACCTGTAATTCCAGCAATTTCAGAGGCCGAGGCGGATGGATCACCTGAGGTCGGGAGTTCAAGACAGCCTGACCAACATGGAGAAACCCAGTCTCTACTAAAATACAAAATTAGCTGGGTGTGGTGGCGCATGCCTGTAATCCCAGCTACTCGGGAGGCTGAGGCAGGAGAATCACTTGAACCCGGAAGGCAGAGGTTGCAGTGAGCCGAGATCATGCCATTGCATTCTAGCCTGGGCAACAAGAGCAAAACTCCATCTCAAAGCAAAACAAAACAAAAATTTCAGAAAACATATACATATATTTTTTGTATCTCAAATGGCTTCCTCAATTAGTAACGTAGGTAAGTAAATGTTTAATATTATAAGCATTCTGAACTCAACATTCAGAAATATGTTGATATTTCCTATTCAAAATAATACTTTAAAAGACAGATGTTAAAACAACTGTTTAGAGTAAAATTCTGATTTTTTCTTAAAAAAATATATTTGAATATATATTTTACACTATATTTAAATTTATCCAATAAGCATAATTACTCAACAATAAGAAAATTATTATAAGGAACCAATTTGCCTTATTTAACTTTAAAACTGACAAGCACATGATGTTTAAGTGCTTACTTATCTAGTGTTACTGGAGTATTAAAGAGCAGCACTCAATAAGAAATCTTTTCATTGATATTTATATCTATGCTGTAAGTGAATATAGATTATAATGTAACAGAATTAACAAATAAAAGCTAATAAATTTTCTTTACACTCACTGTTTGTTGGCACTCTTCTGGTACCTTTATTTGCATTAATTGCTTTAATCTGACAAAAACCCTAGAATTTATGCACTGTCATCCTCACTGTACAGCTATACTCAGGTCATACAGCCTATACGTGGCAGAACTCGGATGCAATGAGAAACCACCTGATACTGAGTTTCAATCTTAACCATTTATGTCCAACACCCTCATAGCCAATTCTTTTTATATCTGACCTAACATTTTGCTTTGAATTTTCTAATTTTGTAGAAATAAAAATCTAGAAAACAATTATTTTAATCCTTCACTTGCCCACTAATTCTCGTTAAGTTTTAAGATTGTTTTGTTGTGTTGTTGTTTGAGATTGAATAGTCTCGCCTCTGTCACCAGGCTCAAGTGCAATTGGCACAACTGGCTCCTCACTTGGCAACCTCTGCCCCCAGATTCAATGGATTCTCCTGCCCTCAGCCTCACTGAAGTGCTGGGATTTAGCAGGCGATGGTGCCACATATCCGGCTAATTTTTGTATTTTTTAAGAGGTACAGGGTTTTCCACTAGCGATCTGGCGAGACTGGATCTCGAAGCTCCTGCATCTTCATGAATCCATACCTGCCACGCTCCCAAAGTTTTGGGGATTACAGGTGTGAGCCAGTGTGCCTCGCCTAAGAAACGGCTTTCTATTACTTTTACTATTTTGCCACACTTTGTGATAAGGAATGCTAACGAAGAATTTTTTTTGGGCGGGGTCTGTTGTAGCTAATGTCCTGGTAATGCCAGCATTTGCGAGGCCAGGTGGGTTAGATACTTGAGGTCAGGAGTTATCAAGACAGGCGTTCTGAGCCAACATGGTGAATCCATCTCATACTAAAAAATATAAAATTACCTGGATATGGTGTGGCAGGATGGCCTGTAATTCCCAGCTACTGGGAGTCTGAGGCAGTAGATTCCTTGGGAACCCTGGGAGGCACAGATCGCACAGTGATCCAAGATCACACAACAGCACTCTTGGCCTGGGGTAACAGAGTGAGACTTCCAACTAAC